TATATATATATATATATATATATATATATATATATGTGTGTGTGTGTGTGTGTGTGTGTGTGTGTGTGTAATCCTACTTATCGTTATTTTGTTCATTATTATTTATTTGACTTTACAGTACAGTCCCATTAGTAATGCATTAACTAACTTTAACAATGAGCAGTGCATTTGTTATAGTATTTAACACTAATTAATCTTTCTTAAAATTATTTAGCAATCATTTTTTCCACTTTTCTTAACTATTATTTATTTATATTTGATCTAAGTCTGTGTGAGCAGGGTTTGTATGTGACTGCAGTATTCTGTATGTTACTCTATGTGAAGAATGAAGTAGTGAATGAGTTTTTGGAGACAGAAGTGTCCTTCATGGATCTGCTCATGAGGCCTCGTTCATCAGAGTAATTACAAACACGTACCGTTTGCGCATTACGCTGCATTAGTGTTGAGGAGGAGCGGGAGGCACAAACACATGGCAGCGTGTTCCCCTCCAGTGCAGCCGCAGCCGCAGGCGAGACAGATGAGAGCGCTGCGGACAGCTGGGCCTCACGCTCACGCTCCGCTGATGGAGTCACGACTCACCCACGAGCCTTTGTTCTGCTGTGTGTTTGAGACGCAGTGCTAATGACGCGCTAGCGCTTCTGTGTGTGTGTGTGTGTGTGTGTGTGTGCGTGTGCGCGCGTGTGTGTGTGAGACACGGATGTATATTCACACAGTGAGAGTTTTAATCAGAACTCAATCATCAGTGCTGTTCACCGTCATCACTGCATGATGAAACTGCCCAGAACACCCTAGCAACTGCATAGCAACTCCTTAGCAACCACCCAGGACACCCTAGCAACCGTGTTAGTCTCAAGAGAAGCCATTCTCCTCTCATTTGCAGTCATTGTTGAGGAGATCTGATGTTTGTGTGTTTTGTTGACAGGATGAATGAGGAGCAGATAGCCACCGTCTGTCTGTCGGTGTTGAAGGCGCTGTCGTACCTCCACACGCAGGGCGTCATACACCGAGACATCAAGAGCGACTCCATCCTGCTCACCAGCGACGGACGGGTGCGTAACCTCAATAATACAATACAATATAATATAATATAACATAATATAATATAATGTAAATTTTTTATATTAAATGAAATTAAAATAAATTAAATAATTTATGTTAATATGAATAATATAATTTAAGTACAGATAATGTAATTTAAAATATGTATATAATAAATATAAATAAAATAAATAATTTATATTATTTATATTTTATTGTACTATTATTTATATTGTATTTATATATTAATTATTCAATTAAATTAATTTGTATTATATTATATGATTCATATTAAATTAAATTAAATAATTTAATTTTATACATATAATATAAAATATAAATTATTTAAATTAATAGAAATTATATAATATTAAAACTATTATATAAAATTATTATATATAAAGTTATATAAATTTTTTATGTAATTAATAATTTCAATAATATAATGCTGCCCTATATGCCATGGGCATAAAGGGCAACTAATGATGATGATATTACATAATATAATAAAATAAAAATAATTACATTGAATAGAATAGAAGATATAATTCTCTTGTGTTTAATCGTTACGACTGAATATATAGCACACCGCACACAGTTGTGTGATTTACTGTATGTCTACGCACATAAGTGTGTTTATTGTGAGGGCAGAAAAGTGATCGGGGTAATTAGCAACTTCACTAGTTCCAAGTAATTAAATCGTGTCTCCCACCTTGTAATTAGCTGGGAGAACATGACAAATGAAGGGGCGATTAGCGGCTAATCAGCTTTGCGTTGTGCTGTACGTGACGCTCTGGTGTCTCTGTGCTCAGATCAAGCTCTCGGATTTCGGCTTCTGCGCTCAAGTGTCTAAAGAGGTTCCCAAGAGGAAGTCTCTGGTGGGAACGCCGTACTGGATGGCGCCGGAGGTCATCTCCAGACTGCCCTACGGCACTGAGGTACGGCGGACGCTCTGGTTAATGACGGGTGACCTGTGTGCTGGATGATGGGTAACTAGTCACCCGCTGGGTCTGCTGTGGTGTGTCTGCAGGTGGACATCTGGTCTCTGGGCATCATGGTGATCGAGATGGTGGACGGAGAGCCGCCGTACTTCAACGAGCCGCCGCTGCAGGCCATGAGACGGATACGAGACAACCTGCCGCCGCGACTCAAGGAGTCGCACAAGGTGAGCAGCTGTGATTCTATTGGTCGGAGCCGCAGTCACATGATCGCAGTCACGCGTGTTGATTTACAGCGACGCTCTGAAACTCCTTTATTACTGAAACACCCAAACCCAACGAAAACTCGAACGGAAACTTTATTTGATAATCAATTAATCAATCAAATTTATTTAACAACATACAAATAAAAACTGCTGTCAATAAACATTCAAATTGCTCATAAAGCAATTCAGCCTTTTAATGATATAATTATGTTTCTACTAGGGCTGTCAAATAATTAAAATTTTTATTCTAATTAATTACATGATGTGCCAATTAATTAATTGCGCATCAGTTTTTTTTTGCTGAGAAATTACCGCCCAAAAGATAATGTATTAAATGAGAAAAGCATTTAATAGACATTACAAAAAAATTGCTTTAGAAAGAAATATTTTGATTCAGCATTGCATAAATAATGATAATAACGAAGCAAGACACTGTTTTTATGCACGAGTGACTGAATCATTGACTCGCTCGATTCGTTCGAAACTTCTGATTCATTTAATAACGAAGCAAGACACGATTTTTATGCATGAGTGACTGAATCATTGACTCGCTCAATTATTTCGAAACTTCTGATTAATTTAATAAAGAAGCAAGACACCGTTTTTATGCATGCGTGACTGAATCATTGACTCGCTCGATTCGTTCGAAACTTCTGATTCATTTAATAACGAAGCAAGACATGATTTTTATGCATGAGTGACTGAATCATTTATTCGCGCGAATCGTTCGAAACTGCTGATTCATTTAATAACGAAGCAAGACACCGTTTTTATGCATGAGTGACTGAATCATTTATTCGCTTGATTCGTTCGAAACTGCTGATTCATTTAATAACAAAGCAAGACACCGTTTTTATGCATGAGTGACTGAATCATTGACTCGCTCGATTCGTTCGAAACTTCTGATTCATTTAATAACGAAGCAAGACACCATTTTTATGCATGAGTGAATGAATCATTAACTCGGTCGATTCGTTCGAAACTTCTGATTCATTTAATAACGAAGCAAGACACCATTTTTATGCATGAGTGAATGAATCATTAACTCGGTCGATTCGTTCGAAACTTCTGATTCATTTAATAACGAAGCAAGACACCGTTTTTATGCATGAGTGACTGAATCATTGACTCAATTCGTTCGAAACCTCTGATTCATTTAATAACAAAGCAAGACACCGTTTTTATGCATGAGTGACTGAATCATTGACTCAATTCGTTCGAAACCTCTGATTCATTTAATAACGAAGCAAGACACCGTTTTTATGCATGAGTGACTGAATCATTGACTCAATTCGTTCGAAACCTCTGATTCATTTAATAACGAAGCAAGACACCGTTTTTATGCATGAGTGACTGAATCATTGACTCAATTCGTTCGAAACCTCTGATTCATTTAATAACGAAGCAAGACACCGTTTTTATGCATGAGTGACTGAATCATTGACTCAATTCGTTCGAAACCTCTGATTCATTTAATAACGAAGCAAGACACCGTTTTTATGCATGAGTGACTGAATCATTGACTCGCTCAATTCTTTCGAAACTTTTGATTCATTTAATAACGAAGCAAGACACCATTTTTATGCATGAGTGAATGAATCATTAACTCGGTCGATTCGTTCGAAACTTCTGATTCATTTAATAACGAAGCAAGACACCGTTTTTATGCATGAGTGACTGAATCATTGACTCAATTCGTTCGAAACCTCTGATTCATTTAATAATGCTCGCTCGATTCGTTCGAAACCTCTGATTCATTTAATAATGAAGCAAGACACCGTTTTTTTGCATGAGTGACTGGATCATTGACTCGCTTGATTCGTTCGAAACTTCTGATTCATTTAATAACGAAACAAGACACCGTTTTTATGCATGAGTGACTGAATCATTGACTCAATTCGTTCGAAACCTCTGATTCGTTTAATAACGAAGCAAGACACCGGTTTTATGCATGAGTGACTAAATCATTGACTCGCTCGATTCGTTCGAAACTTCTGATCCATTTAATAACGAAGCAAGACACGATTTTTATGCATGAGTGACTGAATCATTGACTCAATTCGTTCGAAACCTCTGATTCATTTAATAATGAAGCAAGACACCGTTTTTTTGCATGAGTGACTGGATCATTGACTCGCTTGATTCGTTCGAAACTTCTGATTCATTTAATAACGAAGCAAGACACCGTTTTTATGCATGAGTGACTGAATCATTGACTCACTCGATTCGTTCGAAACTTCTGATTCATTTAATAACGAAGCAAGACACCGTTTTTATGCATGAGTGACTGAATCATTGACTCGCTCGATTCGTCCGAAACTTCTGATTCATTTAATAACGAAGCAAGACACCGTTTTTATGCATGAGTGACTGAATCATTGACTCAATTCGTTCGAAACCTCTGATTCATTTAATAACAAAGCAAGACACCGTTTTTATGCATGAGTGAATGAATCATTGACTCGCTCGATTCGTTCGAAACTTCTGATTCATTTAATAACGAAGCAAGACATGATTTTTATGCATGAGTGACTGAATCATTGACTCACTCGATTAGTTCGAAACCTCTGATTAATTTAATAACGAAGCATGTCTATAAAAAGATATATGTATATGTTGTAAAGTTTTTGTGTCCCTAAGATGCACCCTCAAAGCAGTGCCACACCACCCTCACGCACATCTACATGCACCAAAACTCCTTGGATGTACAATAAACTTTCTTATATACCTGGTTTGACTAGACTGGACCTGTTCTTACCGACAGCCCCACTGGCTTCAAGCTAACTACCTAAACAGCTGCCAGTTCTCCTCATGCATCCTCCTTTTCATACAACAACTGTTTGAAGGAAGTTGAAGAGGAGAGGAACTGCTCCTAAGCATACACTGTTGGATTAATCTACCCTGATTTCTTACTTCCTCTATCAGTTGTTGTATGAGTGCAGTCTGAGCATCAGGAACAGGAGCTATTGGAGAAGCATATGGGTGTTCAGCATCAGGGTGAACAGGCTAAGGGGGGTGTGGCACTGCTTTGAGGGTGCAGCTTAGGGACACAAAAACTTTACAACAGTATATGTTATGCATATGGATCACTGTGTCATGTGACGTGAGGCGTGTGTTGAGTCAGCTGAAGCTCCACTGACTGGCCGTCTGTTCTGCTGTGTGTTTGGGTGCAGGTGTCGTCGGTTCTGCGGGTGTTTCTGGAGCTGATGCAGGTGCGAGAGCCATCTCAGCGTGCGTCGGCGCTGGAGCTGCTGCAGCACTCGTTCCTGAAGCTGTCGGGCCCACCGTCCTGCATCGTTCCTCTGATGCGCCACTACCGCCACCGCTGAGAGCCGCGCGTTTAGACTGCAGTCATTCAGAACGGATCGGCTCGGCGGCCCGCAGGTGTCTGACGCCCTGCGCTTCGGTCCGGTGCTGCGCCGATCTCACGTCTCTCACTCTCGTCTTCTCACGCTAACTATGAAGATGTATTTTAGAGCAATTGTACGTTTTACTTGTACAGTTTTGATAAACGGCAGTATTTTTGTTGTGATGTCACCATGCTGAAATGGGCAGTATTACCTAGAACTGAGAGTTTCTGCAAAATAACTAATAATAATAAACTTTCCTACTGTTTATATTTCATTTTTTTTTGAAGATGGTCATAAACTGGCTGTTGCAGACAGATGAATCTGAATATTTATTTATTCTACGTTTGTAGGTTGTGTCCGCTCACGCCAGAGTTTTCTACGCTCTGTTTCTTTCTGGTTTTCAGTAGTGTGGCCTTCACGCTCATTCTCACCCGATCTCTAGCAATATGAAGCTGTTGGACACAGTCCTCACGCGTGTTTTCTCGTGCCGTCTCACCCGTGTCTCATGGCTCACTGTGATCTGGAAATGCGTGTTTCTGTAGGACTCTTCAGATCCGCTGTCGCGTCGCTTCTGTGCAGTGATCCTGCATGTGTGTCACTTAGAGCTGCTTTCAATAAAACACAGATGCGTCACACGCCGTCCTGTGTTCATTTGTCTCATGAGCAGGTTTTGAGTTCTAGACGCTTATATAAAGATGTTTTTCTGGAAGGATTTCTGCTTCATTTTGAAATGAGCGAATGAACTACAATCCCATGATGCATTGTAAATGAGGTCAGCTGACAGTCTCATCAAGGTGTGGGGAGAGTTAGAGAAGTTTTGTCTGGTTCTCAAATATTAAGAACATTTTAATACAATAAAACTGAGCAGCTCATGATCATTTTTTATGTTACAGGTGTGAGATTTAATGTTCATTTAATGACATTAAACGTATGCAAATGTACTTAATTCATTTGATTAATGTGACATGAAGAAAACACAACGAAAACTTGTTCAAGACTATTAATTTTTATTTAGATGTATATGTTCAAACATAAAAATAATAAATAAGAATAATAGTTGTTTTTTTTACATGTGGCCAGGGTTATTATAACTAAATCTAAAACCATAAAAAAAGTGTTACTTAAACTTTAACTGAAAATTTAAAAAAATAATAATCGCAACCTTTTCATTTTCATTTGGTTTAATTTGATGTACTAAAATAACTAAAACTGAAAAAAATCATGGCAACAAAACAAAATGACAAAAACTTTAACATTGTAATGAAAAAAAAAATCTAAATATTAACAAAAATTATTAAAAATTAATATCTATGAATCTGAGACCCCAAAAGGCTTATAAATATTCACACTGACCCCCCATGAGCAGAACGAGCCATTCATGCCATTATTCTTTTATTGAAACAAGCCAATAAATGCATGAAACATCTTTTACTCTGTTTTGAATTCTTCAGTTGTCTAGAATAAACGATTAAGAACATTTTCAAGTATTCTATTAATAAAACTATTCCTAACTTTGTAAGAAAATACCAACGCAGAAGTTTGTGAATCAGCTTAGCTGAATCAAATGTATGTCAAAGTTTACAGTAAAGATGCTTCCATACAGTTTTTGAAAGCATGACATAATCTACTGTCAATCTTACTGCTGTCTCTCTGCTTCTGCTCGATTCTCCATTCATCTGCGGGTCGTGTTTCATTCTGATGAATCTAAACCTTCAGCTGAGGAGAGAAACCTCATCCATCAGAGAGTAAATGGAGAAAACACGTCACATCAGTACATTTAGAAGATCACAAAATAATATGCAATAATCATGAAGCAATCCTTAAATATTTGTACTTTATTTATATCCTTCAAGCCATTTACATATCTCTATTTTACAGTGACAGACTCGTGGTAAACGACATACAGTACATGAGTGCAGCGGTTACATTGAACATCCAGACCAGACATCTCATCAAACCCGTCTCCGCCACAGAATAACAAACTAAAGTAACGGTAATAGCTACTTTTTCATTTGGACTGTTTCTAGCAATTCTGAGATATAAGCAGGATTGCGTAATATAAATTCACAATTCTGTGAAAAAAGTCAGAATTACGACATATTAAAGTCAGATAGAATTCTAACTTTATTCTTAGAATTCTAAGTTTTTATCTCGCATTTGACTTTTTTTTTCTCCAGATTTTTTCTAAGTTTACATGTTGCAATTCTGACTTTCTCTGGATTCTGCGTTTGCGTCTCACAATTTAGATGTTTTTCTTCTTCTCGGAATTAAGTTTACATTTCACAATTCTGACTTTTTCTCAGTTGCATGATGTAAACTTAGAATTCAGAGGACAAATTCATAAATGCAAAATGTTAGAAATCTGAAGGAAAAAAAAGTGAGCGAGATGCAAACGTAAAATTCTGAGGAAAAAAGTCAGAATTGTGAAATGTAAAATTAGAGACAAAAATGTCCCCATTAAAACAGCAATATTTAATCCCAGTGTCATTAAACAAACTCATGCACTCAAGACTATTTTCAATCAATTATAGTTTTACACCTCGCAAATGACTTTTTTTCAGATTTCTAAGTTTACATGTTGCAATTATGAATTATGATTCACACTATGAATTTGTTTAATTCTATGGTGGAAACGGGCTTCCATACATTTGACACAGAAACCAGAAAGAAAAGCAGAGTTCTAATGACGTGCGTTGAGACATTTGGACTGACGTCACGTCCGGTAGAGATCTTCACATGTTCTTGTAGAGCGAGCGGTCGCGAGGAAGCTGCGGCTGCTGCGCGGCGCTCAGTTTGAGGTGGAAGTGATAAACGGAGATGGTGATGACGATGATGAGACCCAGGATGAGACCCAACACCAGCGGCAGCATCTGCTCCAGCTGCTCCCGCTGGTCCGTGATGCATTTAAACGCTGCAGGAGGAGAGAAGCGCTGGTCATTCACACTCCACATCAACACATACAGCCTAAAACAACATCTAGAGAGGTTTTTGGTTTTGTCGTTGACGTCACAGAGTCAGTGGTGTGTGTTTGCGGAGTTGTGAACGTGTCAAGAGCGCTTGTGCGAAACACGACACAGCGCTGACGTCACAAAGTGTTCGAGAACCACGAGTCTCTTCTACACGAGTCTGATCTGTGCAAACAGGAACATCTTCATCTGCTGACAGATCCTCATAACCCTTCACACTCAGTTCAACTCCTGCTGTTTTAGGGTCAATTTGACTTGAATTCTAAAATGCTTGAAATACTGGTTAACCAACTAACTGGTTAACTCATTCAGGGTCATGGATGCATGTGCAGTGTTCCGACACATACATGTGTTTTGGAACGAGCGTACGAAATTTGTTGCAACTTTTGAGTTGCGGGTCAAATTGGTTTCCATGCAATTTGCCAAAAATCAACACTTTGAATAAAAAAAATCTTAAGAACTTTTATTGTAGCTTGTCGAACGTATTAAATGTCAGACTCAGTTGAGACTCATCTTGAGAATCACTGTTAGATTCACAGTCAAACAAATCTGTCAAAGGTTGTTTATTTGGATCTGAAACACTAGACTATCAGTGAGAAGCCCTCAGTAGCGTTAGATAAGAGATAACAGAAGTACAAACAGCAATAAACACAACGAGCACAAATAATATCAGATCATTGTTATTAGTTGCTTGTAGTTATTTGCACCTGTGAGACAAAAACATAATATATTCTGTCTGAACAACTAATTTTGTGTCAAATTGACCCCTAATACAATCAAATAAAATCACTACATTTCTCACACATTTGATATTTTTTCAGTCTCTGACCAGCTACAGTAGAAGTTTGCTGTTTTTACATGAATCTCAACTCTGTGGGTTTTTGTCAGATTGCATGGAAACCAGCGAGGGTCAGTGACCCCAAACACAGACGTTGAGCGCAGTTTTCAACACATCGACGCAGACTGAAGCGTTGGTTTTGCTCATGTGAGACTGCGCTGAAGGAAACCGGCACTATACACACACTCATCCCGCAGGTCACTGACGGGTCAGCGCTACTAACCCACCGCGGCTCATTTCAGCACTAAATCAAACAGTTACATTCGCCATTAAGATGAAGATGATTTTTAGTCATTAACCCTGTGCGTCTTTAGGGACATTTTTGTCTTTTAATTTTTTTTTTTTTAAATCATTTTGGCTGTGTTAATGCAAACAATGTGTATTTTTATTGGCTTTTTAATATTTCACCCTCATTTCCTTTCATAAATCTATTTTACAGTAGGTACAAAAATATCAGAGATGAAACTGTCCCCGTTAAAACAGCAATATTTAACCCCAGTGCCATTAAACATAAACTCATGCATTCTTTGTTAACCGGCTTTCATTCTGTTGGCAAGGCTACAAAATTGTAGATATTTTTAAAAGATGTACGATGTTTTACTATTTTGGCACAATTTTCTGAGGTTTGGTCTTTGGAGCAAATACTCGCTTTGTTCCTGTTTTCTGCTTCTGCTGGAGAACGGCCAACGGAACTAAATGTTGTATAATTGTGTGTGTGTGTGGTGTCGTGTGTTTGTGTGTGTGTGTGTGTGTGTGTGTGTAAAAAAAAAAATCCATCAAAATTAATGTTTCTAATCATGGACTTATCCAAGACTTTAATAAAATAACAGATATTTTGTGTTTTTTCATTAGTTCATTAATGAATTTTTGGTAGCTATAGTCAGGACTGATGTTAGTAAAAATATCTATATTAGTGAATGTAGAAAAAAAAAACCTGTATAATCCTTTTATGACCATTTTTTGACACTGGCTGTTTTGTCCTCTAAGGATCTTTTTAATTGGTGCACAAGGATTTACTGCAATGCTACAAACCTGAAAACCTGCATTTACTTGATGGCAAATGTACGTCTGTGTGTCGCCCTGTTGTGTTTATGCTGTAATGTGACCTGTGTGTGGATTTATAGTTCAGATCAGCAAGAACTTCCAAATTGTAACATTGAAACAAGCATTTTTTAAAGCTGCTATGAAACTATGCATTATGAAAAGTGCTCTACAAATAATTTTGAATTGAAACTAAATCCTGCTGTTCTTCACTGCAGTAACGCTGCACTAGTTTCAGTACGACAGCTACGAACAAGCAAGCAGAACACTTATGAAATGTGTGAGTAAAGAGCTGAATTCCTGCGAGCGAGTCGCCGCTGTGTGAACGGTTCGAGCGCGGTGGATGTCGCAGCGCTGCAGCACTGCTTATGGGACAATGGGCTTTGTGTCTCAGCAAACCCAAACCATCAAGAAAAGCTCATTCTGAATGATAAAACATGAGCTCAATCCAGTATAACTCCAGAACGAGCCGCAGGTTAAATAAACCCAGTCAATGTGACGCACCCGATTTTACCTGAACGCAGCAAACGAGCATGAAATCACAAAACAAGTCTAGATTTGTCAGTGATGATGATTTATTTGCTCATCTCAATGGTGAACGTTTGGCTGATCTAATCATGATTTCCTGTGAACATGAAGCTGTTTGACTCACGATTATAAGCGCTAATGAAGTGTGTCGCCTCTGAAGTGTTGTAGACCAGCTGAACCTTGTTTATCTTCCACACTTCAGTTTCTTTAGCTTTTCCATCACTGCCCATGGTGCGCTTCTCCTGCACATACACATACACACACATTAGGGGACTGTGGTAAAACTGCTGTAAGAATTCAGATGGATCAGGTTCTGCTGGAATCACCTTTGAGAAGAAGATGCGGAATGTGAATGCGTGATTGATCCATGAGATCTGCAGCTCCGACTCACTGCTCCCGCATTTCCCAGCGATCTGAGCTCCACGCGGGATCGACACGGACGCCTGCTCCGTGATCAGCTGCACACACACACACACACACACACACGCACACACATATAAGCATCATCTCATGTTCGTTCATGAAAGTTTTCAAAACGTTTAAAGCATCCTGACGGGTCGTGCGGAATCATGATGGCATTTCTGTTTAACTTCGTCCAAATCCATTTAGAATCCGTGTTGATCATGTTTTGACTAGACCAGCTCAGAATGCTTCATTTAGGATTTTAGATTTGCTCACATCGATCCCGTTCAGTGCCAGGACGTCGTACGGAATCAGGAATTTCACCGCAAACTCCGCCATCAAGCAGGTCGTTCCATTTTCTCTCACTACGAAAATATCCCGGTCAGGATTCGGCGACAGTCCGGAGAGATTCTCCACCTCCTGCTCCGCAGAAACACAGAGCGCTGACAGAGACACTGGAGAAACCAGGAGAACATGTGAGAAACCAGGAGAGACTCACACACACACACACACACACACACACACTCTCTCTCTCTCTCTCACACACACACACACACACACACACACACACACACACACACACTCTCTCTCTCTCTCTCACACACACACACACACACACACACACACACACACACACACACTCTCTCTCTCTCTCTCACACACACACACACACACACACA